AGAGCATAGGGTCATCAACATGCCGGGCAGCGGGATGGTTCTCGTAAACAACCCGGTCTACGCGATGGTTATGCTTTGTACTGTAGCCGGTAACTCGAATAATATACCTGCGTTTGTCTGTATTTCACGTTGCGGGGGCCTTGATGTCAGCTGTACACGCTGTTGACTTGCCGAAGCAGCTCTTGCGCTGGCCTGTACTCCGACGCTTTCGCCGCCACCCGATCTTCATCCAATATGTCTTGAACTTCTCAGGGATAAGTGACGGAGCCGAATCTGAAGCATCAATAGGTGCCACGATGGTGCCAAATTGATTGGCGAGGTCCTCGCTTTGTCGACGCCCAGAGGTCGAGCTGCGAAGACGAAAGAGCTGGTGTGTATCTACCTGATACCCTTCCAGGTAGGCGTTGAAGCCCTTTCAGGTTTTGTGCCATTCCTCGGTGACTGGCGAAGCTTCCCAAACGCTGGTTGTAGGTACGTGCGCCTCTTCCGAACGTGGCCCTTTACATATTTAGTATAAAATACGGAAGTATTTCATACAGCATTTCTGTAGCCTAGATATAGCATATCAAGTCGGAGATGCCTACGTTAGCACTTCGCAGCTGAATGTTTGCCGTTTTGCATGTTGCTTGAGTACGCTATACTTCTATGGTCCGGAAAATAAATACCGAGTTCTCTAAATTCGCGACAACTTCTGCTGTACAGCTTCAATGAAAGCGTGGTTGACCTTCGTTCGCAGCAGCTATAAAAACTAGCATTTTTTATTGTGGTCACTACAGTTCTTCAAATGTGATCAAAATTGGCCAATCAACGCAGCTTGCCGAGCCGCGTCGATTCCTTTAAAAATCGGACCAAAATTGACTCGTCGGCGAAAAAAACCGCCCTGGTGGGGTAACACTAACTATAAGAACAAAAAACGCCTTTTGCGCTTTCTATCGGCTATAGGCGTTTGTTCCAAGCTGTTTCCATGCAGTAGTTTTTCCCAAAGCCAGGTGCACTAACCGACGCAGTTAAACGTAATTCGACGCACTAGATGAAAAGTGAGCGCCCCGAATGCTTCATATAGAAATTGGCTCGAGAACGCACATTGACTCTCTAAGACTTTCCTGGCAGCGATAAAGTAACTAGAAAGCAACTACGTTGGTAGTACGCTACGACTAGAGTCTGGCTAGCGTCTTACACCATTCTCTCGTAAAAACATGGTTTTGGCGCGCAACTTACAACTCGAGCCAAGCGTACCACTGTTTTATACGAAGTACTTGCTTATCGTTTTGAATGACGTTGATCAGAGAGTAAAACATGAATAGAGCCGCCCTTGGGTAGATACCTGTACTCTATCGCATTTAATCACTCTCAGAGCGCAGCCGACAGACATTGCAAGCACTAGGTACTTGTTATTTTACCTAGAACCAATTTTTATGAGTAGAATACTCCAGCGAACCGAATGTATCCGGGTTTCCGAGCCAACGTCTATATGAAGAACATGGAGCGCTCACTCTTCTTTTAGTGCACCGATTTTTAATACGTTAAACTGCAATAATTGACATTTTTAACTTTATAAAAGAGCAATGCATGCCAAGAGCAGGAGCGATCGCCTTTTGCCGAGTAAAAACGCAAATGTACGCCTCTGCAGCTTCGTCAGTTCGGCTCCGATTTTGACCACCACTGGATTTGTATTATTAGCTGCGATTATTGGCCAATTTTCAGAGCTTGGGGGCGTGATTGGTGCACATTCTGTGTTGGGGTTGCCAGGGCAGTATTTTACTAACGTTACCGTCGTACCCAGGTGTTCCGATAAAAACATTGCAATAATATTATCACAGCCCTTAGAAATAAGATATTGCTCTTCTGAAATCAACAGCGAAAATAAATAATTGCAGCCTAAATAAGCCTTCCATATAAAAAGGATTTTTAGTTAAAAACACGGAAAAGGATACGAAAAACAAAAATGGAAACGATAAATAATTATTAGTGATATCTAGCATTTTAAAAAATAAATAATTTATTGTTTAAAATTGTATTGAAATTCCAATACAATGATTATTGGCCGATGCTACAGTCCATGCGTCGACTCCGGTTATTGTCCCCAAGTAATGTCCATGTGTCAAAAAAAAATTACTTACCACGTTTTTTAAATCCATAGTGAATTGAAGTTGTTAGACCTAAGCAGACGGAAGCCCTCTAGCATCTCTCGTAGAAATACAGAAGTCAGAAGGTCAACCTTACGCACGAGCATTAGACGGATCGATATCAGTTTCTATGGAAATGAGATTGTATTGAGTTGTATTATGGCTTGCTTCCGTGAAGCACAATGTGAAGGATGTGAAAGCGTAACAGCGTTAGACCAATCGGAGTTACGTCCAGCGACACACTCTTGTCTACATATCGCCAATACCTCAACATTACGTAGAATCCGCAGTTGTATCCGTTTGTCTGGATCGGTGCGTTGACAGACACAACTTTGGAGTCATCGCTGAGTGTAGTAGCCAGATCCCACGACAGTCGGTCCAGTACGCTCTTGTACGTCTTCAGGTTCATTAAGTCATAGTACAGGACATTGTTCTGCTTGCCATCCACGATAATTGCACAACAATGCATATTCCCAAAGTTTACAGGAATGAGCAGTACATCCGCTTCAGTGAGTAGCTCCTGGACCTTTGTCTTCATTTCCCTCTCATAGTTTTCTTCTTGTTTGACGCAGAGGCTGCCTCGACCCCGACGACGCGAACGCCGGTACCCGTCCTGTACAATCTCGCGCAAAAAGCCAAAATCAGCGCATCATTAGCCCAATGAGGCGGCTTGAGACGGTATAGCATCGCGTAGTGGTAATCGTTGCCGTCAATGGAGATGGTATCTTGGGGGGAGGCGCGTGCAATGGGGTCTGCGATGCTCTGAAACGTCGATTGTTGTGTCGCTGGTATGGCGCTGGCTGCGTCCTGTGCTAACCATTTGGAGAACACCACTCCTTCTTCACACGAACGCTTCACGTTTGCTAAGTATGCCATGGCCTCGATCTGCTCGCGTGCAAATGTTCCGATACCCGCGATGTAGACACAGTCGATCTCTGGGTTTTGTCCAGGTATTGTAGACATTTCTTCGTCTTCCTGTGTAGTTTGATTCTGGGTGAACACATCGATGGCTGATTCCTTGGTGCTACTCACACGCAGCACGGCAACACACGTGTCCAACTGTTTGGGTTGGAGTAGGTAGAGCGCATTTTCATCGAGCAGAGGCGCACTCTCCCGAGTGTACTTGGGTATCTTGCTACCCGCGTTCTTGTACTTGGTTTGGAGGGGCAGAACACGACTTAGAGTGTCTTGAAGTGGAGGCTTCTCATGTTGAAGACAGCGCGCAAGATGTACCAGCGTCACCTCTCCAAGACGTCGACTATGGGCTTCTGACTCATTGAACACCGCTTGTTTCTTCTTGTCGTCTGCTTCACTCTCCGTTCTGCTCAAAGCGGGCCTACCAGACTTCGCGGCCTTGGGACTCAGACGGATGCGCAAACCAATATCGGTATTATTCTCTTCATATTCACCAGGTGTGAGTCCAAGCGCAAGCTGCTCCAGTTCGGGCATGCTCCCGGTTCGATTTCGGTTGGTTGTCACAGGAGAGGTCACTTCATTTATTTCTGTAGCTTCTTTCGTGACTGGGGCCTTCGTTCTTTCAACCTTTACACGTTTGCGCTGCCTAATGTTCCTCCATTGCTGGACGACGAAGTCCAAATGCTCAAGGTATTCGTCGTCGTCGGAGATATCGGCTAGCGCGCTGCATATAGGCTGGAACGCGCTGACTGCCTCCTTGTACTTAACATTAGCGTTAAGTACATCGCGTTTCGCCTCCCCTGGTTTGAGCTCATTAAGCACAAAAGGCCGCGGAGTAATTGGCTGTTCAGCAGGATGTAACCACGTTGCACGAGCTGCACCACAAATCGAAATGGCCTCGGACGAAGTGCTTGATTCGCAATCCGCTGCTCCTGTCCTTCGCTGGCCAACCATGCGTGCAGATGTATGTGCGTTGGTAAGCACCCCTACGTACGGAACGTCCATTCCCTGCTTTGCTGCCGCTGTTTGACCTAGCCGCTTGTTTCTCAATACGCAACTAAGCGTTGAATGGATGCGCGTGGCCGGGCGGGGTTTTACCGGGTACCTCTTCAAAAACTCATTCCACGCCGACTAGCTGGGATACATCACGTCTGCGGGGCGCTCCACAAGCGAGGGAGAATCTATAACCTGGACAATACATGGGCGCTTGAAATCGTCCGTGTCAGGGGAGGCGTCATCCGAGCTTGCAGCCGTGCAGGAGGCTGCACAAGCCGTAGTGTCGATATCCGAAGAAGGCCCCGTATATACAAGTAGATAAGGCACGGTTAGAAACACGCTCACAGAGACCACAAACAGCAAGATAACGCTCTTCAGGCGTCGCGGAAGCGGACAGAGTCAGCGACATGGCCGGTGCAGGCAGCAACGGTTAATCTCGTGACGTAGGCTACTGCGGCTAGCAGGTAACGAAGCGGCGGTGGCGGCAACGCTCGAAGGAGGGGCGAGTTTGTGTTTGAAAAGCAAATGAAAGGCTGGTGTTTTTGGTAAAACTACCGGTATAAAGATCTGTATCGGTACCTATTACATGGATACATGGATAGAACTTCGTGGGCAATACACGGATGAGAGCCGGTAAATGCACTCAACGACTGGATTTGTTATAAATTACCGAATGTAAATATTTTACAATCATGGACATTACATGGAGCATGACATAGACAATAACCGGAGTCGACGCACGGACTGTAGCATTTCCGATGATTATTTCGGAACACCTGGTCGTACCGGTACTTGGATATTAGCATCGACATTGTCAAGAATTGGTTTTGGACTCATAAACCTTCGATGGTATTTAGCTCTTGTAACAGCTAAAAAAACTGAAGAGCTAATCGAATAATACCCGTACTTAATAATGACGCTTGCAAGCGTTATAATACGAGCACTCGGATATGCAAACCGTGCTCACAAGTGACGCTTACGCAGAAATGCAAGAGGGTTCATCTCCGGCACGGTCGGAAAGGCTACGTGAACAGCGTCGATCTTGGCCTTCACTTCTGGCGTGATCTTGTCCACAAAGTCAATTGCTTTAAGGTTTTCTTCCAGCTGTTCAGGGCGGCTCGCACCAACGAGAACGGTTGATACGTGCTCGTTGGAAACACACCAAGCTGTTGCAAGCTGAGGCAACGAGCATCCCAACTCCTTTGCAATCGGTTTGAGCTTCTCAGCAATCTCCACACGCTCGCCATAAGTAGGTACCATCGCACGGCCCGCAAACGCTGGCTTCGTGAAACGTGAGCCCTCCGGTTGGCCGCCACTGTATTTTCCAGTCAGAGTTCCGTAGGCTAGCGGAGAGAAGATTGTGAGTCCCAGCTTGTATTTCTTGTACAGATCCACGTACTCGAACTCGACCTTGTCTCGGGTGAAGTGGTTGTACTGGGATTGCTCCACAATAGGGCGAATCAAGCCAAGACGGTCTGCAATCTCACACGCCTCACGAATATCCGAGGCCAACCACTCACTGGTGCCCCAGTAGAAGGCCCAGCCTTGGTTGATCACGTGGTTCATCGCACGTACAGTCTCTTCGATAGGCGTGTAGGGTGGCAAAAAATGACGTCCACGTAGTCCAGTTGCATACGACGCAGCGAGGCACGCGCGCCTTCGATGATGTGCTTACGACTTAAACCTTGATCGTTTGGACCGGACTCCGTGAAACCCTTGTAGCCCGCGAAGAGTTTGGTGGTGACCACGAGGTCTTCGCGGGTCCACACACCGTCTTCAATGCCCTTCACGATGGCACCGCCCATATTTTCTTCAGCCTGACCATTGCCGTAGATCTCAGCGTTGTCAAACAAGTTGACTCCAAACTTGAAGGCAGTCTTCATCATCTCGTACCAGGCGTCCACTGTGTGGTACTCTTCACGGTACATCCAGCTTTCGACAGCCAGCTTGGATACCAGTAGACCCGTGTTGCCAAGGAAACGATAAGTCATCTTGGCGGGGGTAGCGAGGGCCATCGTAATTCTGTTAGAGTGTTGTACGTGATTCAAAGCAAATTGAAAAGTGGGCTTACGCAGACTCCAATGTGTTTAATACAGGGCATCACTTATATTTCATACATGTATTAACCCCCTACTTAAGTACTGGAGAGATTTAGATTTATAATGGTCGGTGTAATCAAACGAACTGCACAATCAATCGTTTGGAGTGACCAATGAAATTCAGGATTTCTAGCTTTTATTATCTTCATTCTTTTTAGATTCAGCCACCCAGCAATGATGGCGAAATCTCTGACGACACAACCGGGATGTGACACCGATCATATACTGCATAAACCACTTTGATCCTCACGGGACTGGATTCAGCCTTCTTCCTCACTTGCTAGAAATAGTGCTCAGAATTTAGTGGTTTAAACATCAACATAAAGCGTTTGGGGAAGATCTAACTTGTTATAGAGAGCTCATTTCAACATTGTAAACGCGTTTCGCGGCCACCTGGTGAGTTCGCGAATTTTGGCAGAGAATGATAGTATTAATACAGTATTAGCTGCTTGCTTCTCTTACTACTGATATTAGCGGATATCGATAATATGCTCGATATCCGCTCATATCAGTAGTAAGACAAGCAGCAAAAATTAAAACTATCAATCTCTGTCCATTTGCAAATGTACAGTTGCACAGAGTAGCAAAATAATAATGCCGGTATTAGCTGATACCAATATTATAATATCGCGAATTTTTTTTTTGGTATTATGTTCTTCGAGGTAGTTTTATTAGCTGATGTTTGTGGGTGAAGTAGTTATATTAGCAGATGTTCTGAGCGAGTATAGTACTATAATACTCAGAGTCTTTAACCCTTCTACTACGACATTACGGATAATCCGGAATCTAATTTATAGAGGTGAAATTGTTCCGAGATGTCCGCAACAACATTCGAGGAACGACAATTCGGCATATTGAATTTTGTATGCGATAAATTTAAACGGGTTAAGTGTAAGCTGCACACCACATGCGACACGGGATTGTCAGGAAGCGGTTAGGTTTACAGATATAAGGAGTCAAGAGACTCTCCCAGCCCTCCATTTGGAAATCAGCGCCGGAGAAGAGACCATCACTCCTAAAGATGTTCACCTTCGAGAAATCATTCAACCAGATATGGCGCGAATTGAAGAAGAAAGGCTGGCTGTATCGAAAATCCTCTGGCCTCAGCAACGCCCCCCGCTACCTCCCCCCCCGGTGGCAACCTCGCGGGATCGGAAGGCGTGGACTACTTTGAAGGTAAGACTACCGATGCGAATGTGCTGTTTCGGCAACAAACCGTGTACGCTTGTCAGGCGAGATGAGTCTGCTTCGCTACTGCCGCCGTAAAGGATGGCTTGCCTTCGAGCCAGCTCCACCTGCTTCGACGCCGACCATCGCCGAGCCCGAGCAGCCCAAAAATGCTCCTGGTCCGTCCGAGACTACGTCAGCACTGTCTGAAGAGAATCCCGCGCGGTCAGAAGGAGATTCCGAAGCGGTGCCTGCGCCGTCCGAGCCTGGATTAGCTGCACCCGTTGCCGCACAGAAGGAAGATGCTGCGAAGAACACTTCGATTGCTTTGCCGAGGGCTGCTGCCAAAGCCACTGCCCCAGCGAGAGCGTCGACTATCTCAAGCGTACCACCTGCACCTGGCAAGGCCAGAGGTTCTAGCAGACCACGACCCGCAAGCAAGGCAACTAGTTTGGCACACGACATTGAAACGGATCCGCAACCTCGACCGAAAGGCAAGCGCAAGGCATCGAGTACAAGAACGTCTACGAAACGACCCCGTACTGGTACGTTTGAGTTTCTGATGCTGACTGTTGCGAAATATATACTAAATTTCTTGTTACGGATTGTGCAGTTCCTGGTGTTCAGGAAACGACCTCACGTACCACGGATAATACCCCGCAACCTGTTCCGGATACCCCTGTCGAGGTTGAGGAAATTCCTGAATCGTCTATTACGGCGGTACCCACTCCGGCAGCAGTTTCAAGCACGGAAGAATCTGGAATTTCTCTAGATGACTTCGATTCGGATAACTTCTTGGATGCACTGCGACGAGACCGGCTGTTTGGGCCAACTGATGCTGATGATATAAACATTGGAGGTGGCGACTGGTTGCTCCCTCTAGATTCCGAAGCGGAAGGTGACAAAGAGTCCATTCTGGCGGACGAAAACGATGAAATGGACGAGGCAGTTGCTGTTGCTGTTGATGACCAAGTTGATGACGACGTGGCAACTGAGCGTGACGAAGTGCCAGTGGAGTTTGACGTGACTGGCCCAGAGCTTGACAGACTTCAAGCAGAGGGGTGGGAGGTGTTCGATGAACGCCACGCGGGCCAAGTGCAACACGATGCATTGCCCCTCTACGACGGCCCATCTGGTCCAACCCGAGCTGCGCTGGCATACGCGGAGAACCCTATCGCGATATTTTACTTCTTCCTGCCGAACGAGCTGTGGCGAAAGATTGCAGCCGAGACGAACAAGTACCGTACGGACAGCATCGACAGTACTTCGCAGCAAATGCGTGCACGGGCACGTCAGCGGCGCGAATGCGTCCCCTCAACAATAGTGCTGACCATTGATGAGTACAAGGCAAAACTAGCGCGCAAGCCATCCATCCAGCCCCACGAGATCATTCGGTTCATCGGTTTGCTTATCGCACGAGCACTAGAGCCACGCCGAGAGAGTCTAAGTCGGCACTGGGTCACGAAGGTCGAGGGTGCACTCGCGCGCGGCACGTTTGGCCAGTTCTTGAGTCGGGACCGGTTCCAAGACATTGCGCGATATCTCCACTTCAACGACAACGAACGACAGTCCGACAGTGGGGATCGGGCCTTCAAAATTCGGCCCGTGGTTCAAGCGTTGCAGAAGACGTTCTTCAGAGGATACCGAATGGGTGCACGGATTTCGTTCGACGAAGGGATGGTGCCGATGCGTCATCGCCGCAACCCAATGCGCCAGTACATGCCGGCTAAGCCAAACAAGTGGGGCAACCTGACGTGCTGTGCAGACACCGCCTACTGCTCCAGGTACGAAGTACGATTGTTACGGATATCTGTCTAACAAGACGGATATCCGTAGTAATTATAGTCTGTCTGGTCCGTAATGTATTCTGTATGAGCCGTTATATCTCGCTAACCGAACTGTGTTGTAATGTGTAGATTGGATATCTATTGCGGCAAGGCAAATCAAGACGAAGAGGCTGTCGCGCAGCAATCTGTGGTCAAGAATATTACCAAAGTCCTTCGTGGGCAGCCTTCACAACGCCTCATTTGCACTGACAACTTCTACACGTCAATCCCGCTATCGGACAAACTGCTGAGCATGGGCCATCGCCACGTGGGAACTATCAGGAAAGATCGCAAGGGCTGGTGTGCGGCCATTGAGTTCAAGCAAAAGAGACGACCGAAGCGTATGCCGCGCGGAACGTGCAAGATGGCTGTGTGGAAGAGGCGCCGTGACTTCGTTGCGCTTACGTGGATGGATAATAAGCCTGTTAGATTTCTGGCGACGGGGTGCTCAACACATACCACTCAAGTCTCCCGTAGAGAGCGCGATGGCTCCATTTCTGCTGTGCCATGCCCCTAGCTTGTGCGAGACTACCACGAGGCGATGGGGGGAGTAGACGTTCACGACCAGCTACGCCTGCAGCGATACTCCATCCAACGCTTGATTCGCATGCGTAAGTACTACAAGACGATATTTCTCGGTCTCGTTGATATTGCAATGGTGAACGCGTTCATCGTCCACAAGATTGCGATGCGCAGCCGCGGGAAACCGGTGCCGACCCATGCGGCATTCATGCGGCGACTGCATACCGATCTGCTGAATCAAGCAAGTGAGGATTTTGCTGCTGGTGACGACTTAGCAGATCTAGTTACAGAGCCTCTCCCATGTCAACCTCACACACTCGAGAAGACCGAGGAAATGAACGGCGTGAAGCGTCGTCAGTGGCTGTGCAAGGTGTGCTCAGCGTACGCTGGGCCCGGCGTACGGAGCTACGAGACCAGCTACTTCTGTGCTTCGTGCTCAACGGTCAAGAAGGGGAGAGTCACCTTGTGTAACAAGGCGCGCAGATTGGAGCACGGCAGCGCTCTAACATGCAATGAGGTGTGGCACCAGAGCTGGAAGAACGGCATGACCAATTTTCCAGAGGTACAGCACAAGATCAGGTTTGTTAGGAAGCGTAGGCCCGAAGTTGAGAGCGAGGTTGACGAGGAGTAAGTGAATGAGCAGTTGTGTGAGTGCTGGCTTTCTAGTGTAGTCTCGTTGTTGCTGTACGGTGTAGCGGTTTTGCAGGGAGATCGCAATTGAAAGTTTTATGGACAGGTTCTGTTCTGCACATCATTCACAATTAGCCAATCACATGCCATAATCTGGACACGTGTCACGCGAAACGGCTCACAACTTGGTAAATTGTACTGATTTTCGGGCATACGTTAACTTATATATTAGGAATTACGGATACTCCGGAATAATCTTCGGATTAGAGGGGTTAATTGGAGTTACTGACAATGGCCACAAATCATCACCTGGGCCTACGGTACAGCACGTGAATCGCTGTAGGCCCAGGTTTTGATTATGAAGAGATGATGATGCTTACAGCTTCAGATGTCACAAAAGACGGTGCACTGTCATCGCAGACCAGCTTCGAGCTCGCTATTTCGTATTTTGTTTTATACTTGACAAAGATCGTCTAATACGCTGTTGGTCATGGCTACGCCTACCAAGATGCCATATCGCTTCCTGGGTGACTCGAGACTCCTTGTGTCCAAACTTGCACTCAATTCGTGGATGTACACTGACCAAACCCAAACCGTCGAGGCTTGGTATGAGATGATGAAGACCGCCTTCGCGCAAGGTGTCAACTTCTTCGACTCGGCTGAAAACTATGTACTCGGTCAAGCGGACGTGCTCATGGGTGATGCTATCAACAAGAGGATCGAGGAGGGCTTGTGGGATCGCGAGGATTAGGTAGTCACTGCCAAGATCTTTAGCGAAACCCAGGGTTTCCGGAATGGAACCCCCGGGTCTCAGCTGCAAGCACTTAATTGAGGGTACCCAGGCCGCGCTCGCGCGTATGAGAATCGACTACGTCGATGTCATCTTCTGCTATCACCCCGAGCCATGCAATCCTATCGAAGAGACTGTGCGTGCCATGAACTACATCATTGAGCATGGTTGGTCCTTCTATTGGGGCACCAGCAACTGGCCCGCGAGTTCCATCCTCGAAGCGTGTGAGATCGCTGATCGCTTGGGCTTGATACGTCCCGTTGTCGAGCATTCTCAGTACAATTTCTTCTCTAGGGACCGCGTCGAGAACGAGTTTACGACGTTGTACAAGCGGTATAAGCTCGGAGTGACTGCGTGGTCGCCTCTCGCTTTCGGGACGCTGTCTGGCAAATACACGGTCGATTTCCCCGAAGGCTCGCGCTTCACGATGGAGCCGACCAAGAGGAGCATGTTCGGAGGTGAGACGTTTACTAAAAACGTCGAGAAGGCTGAGAAGCTCAAGGTCATCGCCGAGAAACTGGGCTGTTCCTTGGCTCAGATGTCGCTCGCGTGGTGTATCACAAATCAGAATGTGGCAACGGTGCTGGTTGGGGCAAGCAAGACGGCGCAGCTGGAGGAAAACCTCAAGGCGCTGTCGTTCGTACAATATCACTCCAGAGGTGAAGGCGGAGATTGACGATATCGTCCAATACGTACCAACGCAACCATGGGTCAACCACCTGCAGGATATCCGCATGCGACACCTCTAGTTGTAAATGAAGCACTGAAGTAATTGTACCAGTCTCTGTAGCTTTTCAAAAAACGTGTACTACCGGTACCCGGCATAGGAGTAATGTATTACGTGTTCGTGTAACCACATATATGTAGGAGTAGTCGCTGTAATAGATAGAAGTGCTGTTAGAATTTACAATGTGTACTTCAGTAATTGGTGTTGAAAAGTATTATTATTTCTTCAAACTTAAGTAGTAGCAGTTTAATACTGAGCCGGTTTCTAATAAAATCTAAAAAGAGAAAGAAAGAACGCTTCGACGCCACGTGATTTTTACCTGTCATCCTCGGTAAGTTGAACCTAAGGACTGTGTCATTTCGGTACTGGCTCCCTTTTCACCATGTCATCAGCCACCGCTGCTACCAAGATGACGTACCGCTTCCTGGGTAATTCGGGCCTCCTCGTATCCAAGCTCGCTCTAGGGTCGTGGATGTTCCAGGACGAGAAGAACACGGTCGACGCATGGTATCAGATGATGAAGACGGCGTTCGCGAACGGTGTCAACTTGTTCGACTCGGCCGAGAATTATGCCATGGGACGAGCTGATGAGTTGATGGGCGGATCGATCAAGAGGGGGGGTAGATGACGGTGTTTGGAGCCGAGAGGACCTCGTCGTGACTGCCAAGATCTTCAGTGGAACCAAAGGTTTCCACAACGGAACTCCCAACAGTCAGGGACTCAACCGGGAGCACCTGATCGAGGGAACGAAGGCGTCGCTAGCCAAAATGGGGCTGGACTACGTCGACGTGATCTTCTGTCACCACCCGGACGCCTTCACTCCCATTGAGGAAACTGTGCGGGCCATGAACTACATCATCGAGAAGGGGTGGGCGTTCTACTGGGGAACAAGCAATTGGTCTGTCAGTGAGATCACTGAGACCTGTGAAATCGCCGATCGCTTGGGTTTGATTCGCCCCATTGTGGAGCAGTCTCAGTACAGCATCTTCGAGCGAAACCGAGTTGAGTTCGAGCTTGTGGATCTAATCAAGACGCACAAATATGGGATTACAGCCTGGTCTCCACTTGCATTTGGCACCTTAACCGGCAAATACGGCTCAGGCTGTCCTGAAGGATCGCGCATGCACACAGAAGACATGCGTAATGCGATATGGGGAACGGACTTTGAGGAGAGAGTCCAGAAGGCTGATAAGCTAAAGCCGATTGCGGCGGAACTGGGCTGCTCGCTGGCTCAGCTTGCTCTGGCGTGGTGTGTCGCCAATGAAAACGTGTCAACTGTAATTGTCGGGGCAAGTCGCCAATCGCAGCTGGAGGAAAACCTCAAAGCGCTCGACTTCGTAGAGAAGTTGACACCTCACGTGATGACCAAGATCGATGCCGTAGTCAACTTTGTGCCTGGGCACCCTGTGCCAGATCGCCTGCGCGAAATCCGTGAGCGTCACTTGTAGTCTGTAACCTTGGCGTTTGCCTATTTTTAAGTTTCTTAAAAAAACAAGACCGCTGTTGCAGGCACTGAATGGAGTGTACATAATCGGGGCGTCGTGTTACGCACCATAGGCACCGGCGTGCCTTAAGGCACTTTATTTGGTGCAAGAGGTACCGATTCCAGAAAAGGGGGGTAATATAAAAGAATACATTTCAAAAATTTTCTCAAATTTAGAGATTGCGATGAGTGGTGGTGGTGGATTGAAATACAAGGTGTTACGCGAAGGTTGCACAGTTTATAAAACACATTGTGAATGTTGATCGAATGTACAGATAACTTAGTGATTTTTTGGACATTGGCTTCCAAACCATTTTACGGGGCGCCTATGAAGGAGATTTTAGGCCGCTTGTATAAGAGCTTCGAGCGTCACTTGTACTATGGAGTTTCCAATTTGAAGAAATGCCACCGATGAGTTACAGTGCTCCTACTTATCTCAAAGAGCAAACGGCTACCCTGATGAGCTGTCATTAACTCGTCTTACCAGTTTATTCCTGTAAATGATACTGGACACGTGAGATATCAACGAATTGTGTTTTGTACTGAAAGGTAAACATAGTGCTATCATCTGCAAGAGCGCTACGGTATACACTTCAGTAGATAGCGCAGCCGCATAAAGCGCAACATTGCGGGGCCTGGCTTGTTGGGCATAGAAATACCACGAATGTAGCACTCAAAGAAGAGGAGTACCATGACGCCGCAATTGGCTCCATCTGGCTGGCGTGGCTTGGTTTCCTTCTTGAGCCTCATGTTGGCACGCAATTCTCCGAATAGATCCTTTAGTAAATCATCGCACATGCCGTAATAATTGGTCTTCGTAGCTTGCAATGGGTCGAATATCGTGACTGATCTGGTTTCAGGGCGAAAATCAAACACAATCCCACACCAGGGCGCCCACGGCTCTTCGCACTTTTACTGATCTTGAATGTCGCCGGTGTAGATGTGTCAGAGTTCTCGCTAGCCGAGCTTGTGGGTTGTCGCTTCGACAGGATGCTTGTTGGCGCCGTTTCTACATCCTTTGCGCGATTGGTATCCTCAGTCACCGTAGGTACAGATGAACCCTTCTGAGAGCCTGTAGGCACTCCATCAGTACCTGTAGCCACTGCAGCTTCTCATGTGGTACCTGCAGCCACTCCGCTGGTACCTGAAGCCACTGGAGGTGTTCCTGTGGTACTTGTAGCCACTCCAGTTGTATTTGACGTCACGGTATTAATACTCCCTGGCACAGCATCTGTAGTTGTAGTCTCAGTATCCATAGAGTCGCACAGGTGTGGGTGTGTTTGCGGCACGTCATCAGAATAGTCACATTCAGGACTTTGTTCGAGAATTTTGGGGGAAACAGGATCCAATTCTTGATCGGATGTTGCGGTGCCGCTTGCATCGACAGCAGAAGGTAGGTCGTACGAAGAAATCGATAACTGAGAAAGTGGGTCAATCCATTGACCTTCAATTCTTCATAAAATAACGGAGAAACGGGTGCTTTGGGTCTGGGATCGCGTCCGTAGAGCGTAACTGAACGTTATCCAAGAGAAAATACAGGTACTTGAGATACCTTGTGTAATCTTCACTTGTGGTTGCTGTTCTCATCATATCCACTGCGTCTTCTACTTGATCCATGTCGAAGCTGCTTGGCCCTCCGTACTCACTCTTTGACATCTCCGACCGGATGTATTTCTTGAGATGGAAGTGACAGAGAATCACTTTAACGTTCGGAAAGTGCGCCTCCAAAAGGCTCAGCTCACCCATATCTTTGTCGATCACGATGACACGAATCTCCTCCCACGACGGATATGAAAACTTGAAAGATTCGATCGCATCGGTAAGACACTCCGCACTCTCATTTTCCATTAGGCTGTGCTGCACATACTGACCCTAGGCACGCAAACGGTAACATTAGTACCTTTCGGTACCTACAGGTACATCTAGGGTAACTCTTGTACATTACGTGTCTATAGTCACCAACAGGTACCTCTACACCTTTGCCAATCCAAACTGGTGGTAGTGTAAGCCAAAACGGAGTGTCCCTTATTTAGATATTTATTTTTTAAATTTTTTAGAAATCCCCAAAATTATTCCAGACCAATACGGATTTAGTGTAAAGCAAAATGATGAATATATCTTGTTCGATGGTCGCCTCGATAACAGTATCTTGTCTTCTACAGTACTTAAAGTACTGCACTGTGCAGTACTTTGCAGTCTGCACATGCACCACGTACATTACATTGGTGCATTGGATATAGCCACGAGCGCCCCGCACCGGACGCCGTAAGAAGTGTAGAGCTCTTCTTAACGCTGACCGTCCAGGCAAGCAGCCCCAACACGAGCGCTTGATGGCACGTCAATCGCTGAGCGCCGTTTTTGAGAACGAAACTCAGAGCTGCAACCCTTTCTCCTTCCATTCCCCACGGTCTGCAAGTGCAGCCCAAAGCTCTCATCCTTGATGTACTCTGTCTAATTGGGTTGCTGGCCGTCTTGGCCCCTCTGTCGATGATTATGCAGGCTGTACAAGCTGAGAGGTCACTGTGTGCACCCACAGTCTCGTGTTCTGGCGCCCATACGCAGCTTTCACGCCCCCTTACATCTTTGTGTGTACCCCAGTCCGCAGCGCGCCCGTAGTTCGTATTGCTGGATGTGTCGCTCGCGTTCTTGCCAGTTTGCACTATACTAAATCTGCATTGCTCTAAAAACTAATTTTGTAAAATTATTCCTCAAATTTAGATGTTACTTCGGTTACTTCACTCCGTTTTGGTTTACACTACCACCAGTTTGGATTGGCAAAGGTGTAGACACGTAGACTTACATGGCCGTACACATCATGTATCATGAACGAGAATAGCTTAAACCTCGAGTCGTTCGTGTTGTGCGTCGCGTCGATCAACAGCACCTCCGGAAAAGCCTTGAACCAGCGACGCATCTGGCGCGTCTACAGCGTGATTGTCTGCGCCAAAGATTCGTCATCAACAAACACAGAAGCTCGGTTACCCCGCCGTCCACAGAATTCCGGCATTAGAGATTCATATCGCTGCTCTACGGTTCTGGAACCGCGCCGCTTCTCTCTCATTCTGGCAACCATGTTGTGGACGTCAAGGAGCGTCACGTTCTGACCTATAAACGGATTCATCAGAAATAGAAGCTAAAGCAAGACGAAAGTCATGTATACAAACCCGTCTTCTCGCGCAGAAACTGCATGATCTGCTTATGTTTCGAACCCGACGCTTGCAACACGTCCACGAACGCAAGTAGCATTGGATCCTCGACACGCCGCACCGACGAATGGTTCTCGTACACAGCTCGGTCGACGCGATGATTATGGCTGATGCTGTAGCCAGTAACGCGCACCATGAATTTCTGCTTATCTCTGTTCCACGTCACAGCAGCCTTGATATCCGCCTTGCACTCAGTCGATTTGCCGAAGTAGCCCTTTCGTTGACCAGTACTGCGACTTTTTCGACGCCATCCGTGCGTGCAGATAAGTTTCATCCAATAGGTTTTGAATTCATCTGGGATAAGCGAGGGCGGTGAATCGGACGTCTCTCCCGATGTGCTGTCAGCAATAGCTCTGCTCTCCGTGTTACGACGGGCCACCGACGTCTAACTACGGAGTCGAAAGAGCTGGTGTGTCCTCTCCTGATACTCGCCCATGTAGCTGTTGAATGCGTCCCAATTTTCATGCCATTCCTGGTCGATTGGTGAGGCCTCCCACACGCTGGCGGATGGCACGTGCGCCTCTGGTTCGCTTTCACTCATAGACCGTCTCCTGTGCGGTTACAATATCTCTTAGCAGCAATAACAACCAACACAAGCGCAATAACTTAACGTACACAAATAGCGACCCAAGGTCGACTTGAGGTCTAGACGCGCGAAAATCCAAATGAGCGGGACCAAATGAGCGGCTCTGAACGTTTTGCGGAGGGACCTAAAGGGGGGGGGTGTCTGATTATAGATTTTCGAAATTTTGAAATATCTGGTAATATATCAAGGTAATTTACCGATTGGGTACCGTAAAAGTCCTTTTAGGTGCGATCTCACTCAGTGCCTCTATTCACTCTCAAAAAACAATTGGTACCCTGTCTATTATTTTGTGTTCCATTTGTGGGCATACTACTGTACGTAGCCCATACTCAATCCAAATGATACATTTGTTGGCACAGATTCTTGATGCTCGCCCGCAGTATCACCTCAGTTGGCAGACCTTTCGCACGCACCAGCTTCAGAGCGATGAGCCGCATGACCACGGACGCTGACAACAACATCGTGCTGTCCCCAGAGAAGCCTACAGCTGCGGTCAGCTCACTTCCCTTCCCACGTTGAACGCTACTCAGCACATTTGCTCAAACAATAATTCATTCTATGGACAGGTGGTTTTCCTGCACGGTCTGGGCGACACAGGCCACGGCTGGAGCGACGCCATGATGATGCTGGCCAAGGGTTTGCCACACGTCAAGTTCGTGCTGCCTACGGGTACAGTCCGCCCTGATAACGGTGGTAAATTGCCAATCATTTTGCAACTAACCACCTGACTCGCAGCTTCATCGATGCCGGTGACTCTCAACATGGGAATGCGCATGCCTGCGTGGTACGACATCAAATCTCTGGCTCGCGTGAATGGAGACAACGCTGACGGCATCGACGCCTCTCGCGACCGCATCATGACGATCATCGAGAAGGAGGTGGCGGCGGGGATTCCCTTGTCGCGCATCGTGCTGGGGGGATTCAGTCAGGGCGCAGCGCTATCGCTCTTCTCGGGTTACCAGACCAAAACAGTTGTGGGAGGGATTATCGCAATGTCTGGATACTTGCCTCGCTACGCTGTAAGCTGCGCGTGGAGTTTTGTTTTAGTAGGAAAAGTAGATTTATTGATGAGGATCTGTTTTGGGGTTTAAATAGTCGTTCCAGCTTGCCCCGGAGACGGTGGACGTGCCGCTGCTTATGTGTCACGGCGAGCAGGACCCCGTGGTGCGCTTCGACTACGGCAACATGTCCAAGGAGAAGCTGGAGACGGCAGGTGTGAAGAACATCGAGTTCCACTCGTATCCGGACATGGAACACGGCGCCTGCATGGAGGAGCTGGACGACGTGACCAAGTGGCTCCAACGCGTTATCCCTGAGACACAAAAGTAGAGACTTTGACACACTACAGTAGAAATGCCTGTCGAGTCTTTTGTGAAGACTGAACCAAATGCACTTTTGTGTTGCTGTCGTTGCATCAGCAAATCCTTGGAGACAACTCCTCACTTGTCTCGAAAGATTGCGTCAGCTCATGACCCACGAGAGACATTTTGTGTCATTTCCGACAGTTCGCCATGAGCCTCTCGTGCGCATTCCTCCATTTGCTTCTCCTCGCACTCGTGTCCAGCAGCCGCAGCCCTACCATGGTCGTCGACAAGAAGAACACTGTCGTCTACAGCCATGAGAATCCCAGCGCCGTTTTCTTTTTCCTCCACGGACTTGGAGACACGGCACACGGCTGATCTGACGTGTTCCGTAGTGTGGCAAAGGACATGCCACACGTCAAGTTCGTGCTCCCCACGGGTAGGTGCCGAAGGCTGCTCTAGACCTGAAGGCGTAGCTGACATTAAAGATCCTTACCAGCCACTCCTCGACCTGTGGCCATCGCCAACGGCCGAGAGATTCCTGCATGGGTAAACACGAGATTCCTGTTTCGGTGAAGGAAGTTCATAGCGCTGATACGTTTCTTGTTGTGCAGTATGACATTGAGGCATTTGTTGGAGGAGCGGGGTATGCTGCTGGAATCGAGTAGACGCGCGATGCTGTGGAATCTTTGATTGCCCAGGAGGTAAATCTCAACGTCATTTTTTAATCTTTGGTTGGATGGAGTTGACAAATTTTAACTTTTTTTTAGGTCGAGGCAGGAATTCCACGGTCGCGTATTGTTGTCGGAGGCTTCAGTCAAGGTGGTGCAGTGTCTTACTTCACGGGCTTCCAGACCAAACAGCCAATCGGTGGCGTGATGGTGCTGTCGTCGTTCATCCCGCGTGAAAAGGTTCGTATTCAGCTCTGCGGGATTAGTGAGATACACTGATTTGTTTTTTGTGTATTTCTGAGTAACAGGAGTTCCAATTTGCCCCGGAGACGGCAGGGGTGCCTCTGCTCATATGCCATGGCGACGCTGACTCGCGAGCTCGCTACGAGTGGGCGCTGAAGTCAAAGCAGAGACTGGCTGATGCTGGGGCCAAGGACATCACTTTCTACACATACCCAAACATGGATCATACGTCTTCTCCTCAGGAAATGAAAGACGTCCGAGCCTGGCTGGGTCGTGTGCTCCCAGCGATTTCACAAAAGCAAGAACTGTAAGTGCAGGCCATGGAGAGAATTATGGTGCAAACAAATCACATTATATCGCACAACTGAAAAAAAAAACAAGTTGATAGGAGCTGTTTAAAGAGTTATTACACATCGAGTAAAACATCATGCAAGAACAAATCTAGACATGGAAACTCAGCGGTTTTGACAAGAACTAGCAGATGATATCCAGGAAGATCCGAATGAAGTTTTCCATTACAAGTTTGAGTTTTGTATGTAGCTTATTCTTTTTTGGCGGAATACTTGGGTACTTACGCCTTTCAACACATTGCGGATTTTTTTGCTGTTGCAGTCAAAGAGTTACGTATCTGCCGTTGCAATCAGTGAATTGAAGTACATTTCCGCTGTATCCAACAGAAATTGCACGACTCGGTACGGAATCCAGATGCACTACGTCGCACTGTACGACTCGTACATTTAAGAGCGATCAAGAGATTGCAAAGGCCCCTACATGTATTAATACGAGTAAATACTGGTATGTTGATTCGGAGCCTCAAGAAATTAAATCCGTCGCAAAGTCACGACGATGGTATTGTCACAGTTGGAGTCAACTTGCAGTGCACAAATACCGTGAGTCGCATCTTGACGTTCGGGTAAAGATGAAGTGCGCCCAGGTTAAAGGTGTCTGCCGCGCAGAGTCGCCAATGAATTCAGCTCCGGGACAGTAGGAACAAAGTTGACGATAGCGTCAACCTTCGCCTTCACTTCGGGCGTCACCTTGTCCACGAAGGCCAGCGCCTTCAGGTTCTCCTCCAACTGTTCCGGACGACTAGCACCAATCATCACAGTCGACACCTTTTCGATTGCAACGCACCAGGCAAGAGCAAGCTGCGGTAACGAGCATCCCAGCTCAGCTGCGATGAGCTTTATCTTGTCGCTCATCTCAACACGCTTGTCGAAGCTAGGGACCAGCTGCATATCCTTAAACATTGGCGTCGCAAACCGCGAGTCCGATGGTCTCCCAGCGCTGTATTTGCCGGACAGCACACCGAAGGAAAGCGGCGAAAACGTCGTGAGTCCGAGTTTGTACTTTTTGTACAAATCAACAAACTCGAATTCCACTTTGTTGCGGTCGAACATGCTGTACTGGGACTGCTCGACAACGGGGCGGATCAGACCCAGACGGTCAGCGGTCTCGCAGGCCTCCTGGATGTCCGAAGCGAGCCACTCACTCGTTCCCCAGTAGTAAGCCCAACCCTGCTGGATCACAAAGTTCATCGCACGCACTGTCTCTTTAATAGGCGTGTACGGCTCCGAGCGATGACAGAAGACCACGTCGACGTTGTCGAGTTCAAGGCGGCGTAGTGATGCCTTGATACCTTCGCTAATATGCTTCCTACTAACACCCTGATCATTCGGACCGGCTCCCGTAAAGCCCTTGGTCCCAGCAAAAAACTTGGTGGTCACGACCAGGTCGTCACGGTTCCACACGCCTTCTTGGATTCCACGCTTGATGGCGAGGCCCGTGAGCTCCTCGGAATATCCGTCGGTGTAGTTTTCGGCGTTGTCAAAGAAGTTAATCCCGTTCTTGAAGGCAGTAAGCATCATCTTGTACCAGTTGTCAGCGGTGTATCTCGGGTCCGATTTATCGAAAAACATCCAAGCACCAAGAGAAAGCTTGGAAACGAGGAGACCTGAGTTGCCCAGGAAGCGATACGTCATCTTGGTGGTGGCCATTGTGAAGGTTTTTGATTGGCTAGAGTTCTTAATTCTGATAAGAGAGGAAAACAAAAAGTGAGCTTTCAATTGCTGCACACACCGTGCGCCCCGCAATCAAAAACGTTTACGCGCCAATAGCAGTGCCCCCACAATCCAATTGCGCAACATCAAACACGTGAGAAACTTAGAATTAAATCCATAAATTGCTGCATTTAATTATTTTTTCCTTCTGTTTCTATCCCTCATTGTTTGTGTAGGGAAAAACTTCGGAGCTCGAGTCTAGCGAGGTGCCCAACTTTAGAAATAGGGCTACATGATATACCCAAATGCATATTGCGTTCTCGACATCGAGTTGTCAGGCTGGACCAGCTGCCAAAATCGTACTACTGTACAATATACCTATCAGCACAACTACAATTTTTGCATGACCGAGATGGCAGTGTTTATTAGAAGAAGCTCTCCATTGGCGAGGCTTCCCCACAGCCAATACTAAATCCTCTCTTCTTTAAAGTCAGGTTTCATTACAGTCATTTAGCGTCCTAACGACCATGAACATACCTGTCACTACGACATTGACCTTCTTTCTGCTGCTTAAATTCCAATCATTCATCTAATCAGTTCGGGAGGTAGACTATTCTATAAAATGCAATACGCTTCGACTGCAGCGTTGTATACCAGATCTGTTCTCCGCATAAGTGCCGCTCCTCGTCCATGGGCCCCTTCGTAGGTTTAGAGAGCACTGGAGTGGTCTATTGTTCTTTCTTGTGATATTTGTGTATCTGAGCAGTCTATGAGGGTATGCAACATTTGTTATTAATACGTAGTCGATGAGCACTTTGCGTCATTGGAGTGGCCAGACCATTCTTCTATACAGGTAAGTGGATGAACGGGATAATACTACTTAACCCCTTCAACCCGGTAGCTGTATAAGCTGCGTTTGAAATCAGCTGTTACGCTGTATATACAGCGTAGTGGTTTTATACCTAAATAAACTATACTTGTTTCTGACAGATTCACAAGGTATACAAAAGCGAAGATTAAAATTTGAGAGCCGGAAAATGTATCTTCCTACAGATGAGTCTAAAGAGAGAGAGAAAGGCCGCTTCTAATTTCTCGATTTTTTTAGATATTATAAGTGCCAGGTTTGGCACAGTCTTTCGAAGCAGTATACTTTTTGGGAGGTAAATTTCGCGCCCTTTTCGCAAGCTTGAGCGCCAGTCAAAGATTTTCTGCGGTGGACACAAGCGGTTGAGAACTCGTGATGGTGGGGACCCGCGAAACATCTCGAGGGAGTTGTTCTGGCGGAGCAACTCCCGGTACCTGTGCCCGTGCGGGGGCCTGACAGCTTCCGCGTACTCTGGGCTGGCCTTAAGTCGGCTGGGTGGACCGCGAAGCCACCATCAAGCCGAAGCCTAAATCATTTCTGGAAGTACATCAAGCCAGGCGGTGATCCCAGTGGAAAAGAGGGAGTGGACTACTTTCTTGGAGAGCAAGCTCTATTACTGTACTCTCGAGAAGGTTTGCCATACTTTGAGTTGTTTTGGTTAGTCTTTATTGACGTTGCTAGTTGTATTACATTTGTGTATAGTGGTGAAGAGAAATCACGAAGCTCGACTCCAGCAAGAGCGACAAATCGCAGAGGCGGATAAAGGTGTTTCTCCTTCTGCGGCTTCTTCTGCGTCAGCCGCTGTTCCTGTTGCTACAGCTCCTGTCGATGCTGCTGCTGACCAGCAACTTGAAACGCTACCTGAACACCCAGCACCAGGTGATGTGGTCGCTGAGAGTGCGATATCCGCACCTGTGCCAACTACTCCAGGTAATGTTGCCTCGCGCTTTGTACATTTGATATGCTGTATCTAATGATGTATAAGCTCTTTTTGCTGTATCAGCCGTCATGGCAAGTGCAGTCAGCGACTCCCGGCCGGCGCAACCTCCCCCAAGGCGTGTAGCTTTGTCAACTACTCCAGGTGATGTTGCATCGCGCTTTGTATATTTGAAATGCTGTATCTAATGATGTATAAGCTCTTTTTGCTGTATCAGCCGTCATGGCAAGTGCAGTTAGCGACTCCCGGCCGGCTCAACCTCTCCCAAGGCGTGAAACTTCGTCAGCACCTTCGACTTCCGTGTCCCGTGCGCCAGGTGAGGAACAATTCAGTCGATTCTGCGCTACGATGCACTGCTAACTCGTTATTCAATGCTGACTGTGTGCTACCGTTAGCCAATGCTAGTAGCAAACCAAGCGGCTGTCGCAGCAATGATAGCGACTTGCAGCAACCGAGACGACACCATAGTCCTCTTCCTGCTCGTGGAGAAGATGAAGAATCGAAAGAAGAGAGTCGTACTGGCGATTTGGGTAGGATTACTTTCTTGAGTTGGATATACATCGTACATCATACGTCGTATGCCTAACACGTACATTATGCTGTATTATTTGGTGTATTAGGTACCCACGACGTCGTTGACATGCTAGGTGACGGTGACGACGACTTGAACGCACCTGAAGGCAGTGATGATACCTACTGTGTGCTAGACTCGGGGACCGAATCAGAGGAGATAGACCTGGACGATTTGGATGTCAGTGACGCTGACTCGTCAGGATCAGATACGATCGATGAAGAGGACGATGACATGTATGCAAAGGAAGAACGCCATTTTGCAGACAGTTTTCTCAACTCAATCGGTGGCCACGACAGCGTTCTGGCTGGTGATATCATCGGACCTGCACTGAAAGATCTCGGTACTACTGGATGGCATGATCCCGAGACGCCCAATGTCACGCAATATCTGCAAACACCGTACACTCCTGTTCCATCTAGCGACGAGTATCCAGATCTGATGGGTGAACGCGGTGGACCGACTGAAGAGGCTTTGAAGCGTGGAGCGTCGCCTATCGCACTATTCTTCATGTTCATCCCAGTGGCGCTGTGGCAGCATATAGCAGAGTGCAGCAATCTTTACATGCATGAGCAGCTAGATGCCCGTGTGGATGCCTATTTTGAGAGAAAGGAGCAGCAAGCACAGAAGGCGCGACGAGCTGGACGCGCAGTACAACAAGAAAAGAACAAGACAAGACGAGATGTACGCCAAGAGTTCCATTCGGTGAAGCCGATAATGCCGCACGAGCTGTGCGTCTACATCGGCCTGTTGATAGCTCGAACAATCATGCCAAATCGCGAAAAACTAGCGAACCACTGGAGGCTGTCAGAGCAAGGGGCACTTCCAAGAGGCACATTTGGGAAATTTCTCTCACGAGATCGATTCATGCAACTCACTCAAAATCTCCACTTCACGAGCAACCAAGACCCACGTGCAAAACCGATCGCGTATGGAAAATTCGCTCTGTAGTGAACGTGTTGCAGCAGACGTTTGTGCAGTACTTCAATCCTCCAGCAGAAGCTTTCGTTTGATGAAGCCATGCTACCGAATAGAAGCTCGTTCAATCGGACAAGAGTGTACATGAAAGATAAACCCCACAAATGGGGTACAAAGCTTTTCATGCTCTGTTGTGCTGTGTCCGCTTATTGTATTCGGTAAGAATGCTGTCTTCGTTCTGCTGTATGCGTTTACTTATGATCTGTATGCTGTGTGACAATGTACAGCTTCGAGGTGTACTGCGGCAAGAAGCAGCACATTGCTGAGTCAGGTGCTGTGGACATGAAGTCCGGCCCTGCTGCCGTTGTTCGTAACCTGAAAGCTGTGTTTGGAGATAAGCCTCCAGAGAAAGCGATGCGACTTGTCGTTGTCGATCGGTTCTACACGTCTATTGTGCTAGCCGTACAGCTACTGCTCATGGGGTTTTACACAATTGGTACAATCATGACAAACAGAAGAGGCTTCTGCAAGGCGGTGGTGTCTAGCAAGAAGACTAGACCGAAGGGTATCCCGAGAGGAGCGCTCACGTTTGCTCGGTCTAAGCATGTAAAAAAGATGACTTCGATATGCTGGTGGGACAGCAAACCTGTGCATTTCCTATCGGTTGGTGGAAACCTGGAGCTAGACCGTGTGGTTAGAAGGGAGAAGACCGGAGAACAGAATGAAGTGGCGTGCCCCAAGGTCATCAAGGACTACCATAAGTTTATGGGCGGAGTTGATGTGCACGATCAACTCCGCCTGCAACGGTACTCCGTTCAGCGCTCGATCACATTCCGGAAATACTATAAGTCACTGTTCCTGGGGCTGGTTGATCTCGCGATTACAAACGGGTACATCGTGCACAAAGCATATTGCAAGCAGAGGCAGATTCGAGCGATGACACACGCGCAATACATGTGCAAGCTGCACAAGCAACTGATCACACTTTCCGTGGAGATATGTACGAAGAGAACACTTTCAGCACAGGTAAGCACTATTTGGTTGACATGCCTGTATATACTGTTTACATTAACGTGTATATACAGATGGCCTACACTTCCAGTCGAGAAGCGCGAAGTCCGTCGATGCCAGCGGACACGTGCCGAAAACTAAATGAAGAGTGCGAGACCATTCCGGACAGAGGAAGCGAGTGCAGAAGAACTGCAAGGTATGCACAATTTTGACCGAAGATGGCAAGAGGGGGGCCACCACAACGTACTATTGCGATGGGTGTGGCTTTCCGGGGCCAATATACTTGTGCACGAAGCCGAAGTGGCCAATGAAGGGTACAATCAAGAGCTGTTGGGACGTGTGGCACAATGAATACAAGAACGGCGCTGAAATTCCAGCGCACAAGAAGGGTAAGATCCGAGTGCGCGCGGCAAAGACTACAGGATCTCCTGGCAAGTCTCCTGCCAAGCGCCGCCGTGCCGCTGCTGCCTCCCCAGGATAAATTCTGTGTGATCAATGAAGTAGCTTCACTATTTGCGTCTCTCTTGATGTTGCGACTGCCATCCCGTCTTTATCCACGTTTTGGAGGTGTGTGGATGCACTTGTTTGATGACAAGGAGTATGTTAGAAAGTTTGTATGCACGGCAGTCTCGACATCAGTTGATTGCAGGAAAATGGCACTGCATTTCAGTATGCCAGTGCAGACGCCCTGTTTGTGACACGTTTTTCACATTATTAGAGATTTTTTCTGCTACCCAAGTGGCACACACCACACTACAAGCTGTATATATACAGCGCAATCCCCCCATGATATACAGCTTAATCAGTGCTCGAGATGACTTGATCATTTTTTACCCGCCTATCTTCTAATCCTTTCCCGCGTTTGTATACAATTTCCTATATGTTAATGCGATGTATATACAGCGTTAGGGTGTGGAAAATCAGCCGGGTTGAAGGGGTTAAGTATCTACCAGTGCTGCTGTGGTTTATGAAGGAATAATCCTGACAAACACCATTACAAAAACAAAATCAAGGAAAGCTCCAGATTTCCTACAGAGGTATAGCGCTATATAAATATTGGCTTCTTCCCACACGGTGCAGATATCCTAAGGCTCCCCGCGTAAAAATCTAGCTTTTAAAGACCCTTGGCTACTTGTAATTCAACGAAACTCAACAACACGATTAACTTTTTATGTGTCAGCGTACGATTTGTTGGTCTAGTTCGCATTCAAAAACGCCGAAGTTCTCGTCTCATTTTGGGTGATCGATGAATCACTAAGCAACCGACTAGCAAATCTGAGGCGTAATATGGCTACGTAATATATTACAATACTGAGCGAGGCAAACTGCACTCTCTTGGCCTAGCTCACGACATTGCAATTCTATGAGGGTCTACAGGCTGTAGTACAGCGAGACCTTTGAATCGTTTTTTTGGGTACATCATATAGCCCTATTTCTAAATATGTGTACCTTGAGCTCCCTAAGCTCGAGCTCCATAGTTTTTTCCTTTGCGTACGGTGGCTACAACTACGAAAATGCGATGGTGACTTTCCCACCACTCATGTTAAATTTAGGGCCTTAAGTTTAATTCTACTACGTGTATCTTATTAGTGGTAAAATTTGAATGCAGTTACTGGTTTCTTCAAATTTTACCACTACGTGTATTACATACATGTAAGATAGTAAAATAAATTTAATCCTCTATTTTCTATTTTATGATGAAAAGCTAGCTATTTCAGAAAAGCATTGCGTTGAAGTTGTAGATCTTGTTTTGTAATAGTTTCTGGGAGCTGGGTTTATGCTGTGATCAGGCGCAGGAGTATTACGACGTCGTCGACAGCAACTCACTTCTTGAAGTCTTAAGAACTATTGTTGTTGCGCCCCCAAATGCTGAGAATTCTCGTCATAACTCGACACTGGAGATCCACTCACATCCTGCACATAAGAGCTTTCAAGACAGGAGTCCGATAACTAACGTATAATGCAGCGTGTTTCGGTCGATCCAGGGGCACCTGCTTGACTCTTAAAGCAGAGCCGCATCTTGGACGTGGAGATTGACAAGCTCACATTAGGGTTGGTTAGGGGGTACGACTGCCATGCTGCTTATGCAAAACCTTCGGGGTTGTCAAGAGCCTCTACGCCACGAACAATCGTGTGCGCAGCAGCACTGGTATTCAAGAAGGCCACCCTGAAGCATTTTCTCGCTACTTGTGAGCTCCATGAACGACTGGGTATGAGCTGGTTTTATAATGTCTGCTGGTACGCTGCAGATGAACTAAAATTGCTGCTTCTGACTCGGGACAACAAGCCCATTGAGCGTCTTAAAACACAGAACAGATTGAAAAAGCAAAATTACACCGAGGCACTCCTTTAAAGTACCGGTATTTAATTGTGTTGAAGTGAACAATAAAATTAGAAATTGCGACCTTCCTTAAACACGCTCACTATTGCCAAGTGGCGATAGTTTTAAGTAAAATTACTGGAAGCCGTGGTGGTCAGCGGTGATCTTTCTTTATTAATATTCCATACGTAATTTTTAGCATACGTGAAGCTCTCTTTGAAGTGAAGGGCACAAATATCTCACCATAAGATCTTAAATTGAGATCATCTCGATCGATATCGGATAGTATTAATGCCATCGAAACGAGCATGTTTCTATTGAGACTCAGTAGGCCGGGAAAGCGAGCACAGTGGAGCCACATGGGTGCAGTCTGTGCGCAAAGAAAGTCTCGAAGGCTGTAGTATTCCATTTCGCGTCGCCGCACTATTACCGTTTTGCTACATGTGCAGTGCTAGTGCGTATGGGTGAGTGGACGTCCATGCTACAAAGAGCTACTACAGCTGACTGACTCAAGGATCGCACCGATCTTTCGGCGGGCGGGACTTCGTTGCACGTATCTTGTGCCCCGCATCTGAACATCTATTTTATAGATGGCGCTCGCCGGTGAAGTGCTCCCCGCCAATAAGACTAACAAGAAAATTGTAGCAGCAGCAGCTGCATGGCAGACCTTGACACCATTGCCCAGTTAATGCTTGTCAATAATGGCCAGTATTTGGCCACTGGTCAAAACCTTGGCCTTCTATCCCAAGGCGCCATCCCACGCGAGCGGTCTCCGGAGGTGGACAACGTGCGGACGTAAGCTGCAGCTGGGCCAAGCCAAGGTCAAGTCGAAGATATCGCGCGTCAGACGCATCACGCCTTGACACCGCACATTCCGCCGGCGCGGCCGTTACTTGGAAAATGGAACACCAAGGCATTTTAACCTGCGGAGAAGGGCCAGGGAGAGGAGCAGGAACCCAGGCCTTCGTCGAGAAGAAGGACGCACCCAAAGTAGTGCTCATTTACAAATTCGACGCCGAGAGCTCAACCGCGACCAAAGCAAACTTAGTCGGACCTGCCGTCGTCTTAGTCATGTACTCCGGCATGGACCGCTCAGACTGGCAGCAGCCTGCCTACCCAGAGCGCGCCTCGCCCCCACCGCAATCCCAAACAGGATGGTTCCCATTGCAAGACACCGAGCAGCAGCAGCAACAGTCTCCTGTATCGCATCATTCACCAAGTGGATGGCTACAGGACGCTGCCGGTAACGCAGGATACGCCACTAGTCCCAGTCATGACAGCCGAGGCTCGTTCGTATCTTCACCAATATTTTCGTCGGTGCCGCCGGCGGAATCGCCCCCGTATCTGTGGACGGAGCAACAGGCGCAGCCGCCCCCGGCTCGGGTCGTTCAGTTCCTGCCGTCCCCGACCTACCAACGGCCCATCATGCTGCCCGATTCGGAGCTGTGCCAAGACCAGAAGGCTCACGTGCAGACGGTTCTTCGCCGCAACAAGCAGATCGCCATTGGCCGCTGGAACAGTGAGGAGCACCAGTGGTTCCTCAAGGGTCTCGAGATGTTCCAGGGGCCCGCGTGGGGCGAGATCGCCCGCCTCATCGGCACCCGCACGTCAACCCAAGTGCGAACCCACGCCCAAAAGTTCTTTACCAAATTGGCCAGACTCAATCAGACCATGCCCTACTTCGAGGTGCAGATCCAGAAGGAACGAGCTCGACTCGTAGCCCAAGGCGCCAGCGTCACCCCCACCGCGCAAAGCACTTCACTGCCCGCCACGCTATCGCCTCGCAAGCGGCTGGCGTCAACCAGCAATAGCCCCAGACAATCGCTCCAGCGATACAAGGAGGAAGTAGTGACATCTCCGACGTACGCATCGGCCGCCCACGCCAGATACCCACAAGAAGCCTATAACGCCAAACCGAGAGTGTACGCTGGAGGGTACACATCCGCTGTGTCCCCTTCAAGCGGACCTGCGATGCGCCCGCAGCAGTGGACATCGGATGACACCCGACACTGGCCCCTAGCCTCGCCAACATCCACAGCTGCATCGTTGCGGCTCACACAAATGCAAATGGCGGACGTTGGACAGCAAAGTAGCCCCACGGCTGCGTCCGACGCTGATTCACTTCCATCCATGAACAAATTGCTACATCGAAGCAGCAACACCGCCACGACAAGTTGAAGCAATCGTCATTGTCGTCCGTAGCGTCCAGAGTGAGTGAAGTGAAGATGTATGTTACCTATTACCTGCCCACAAAATGAATTAGCTAAATAAGTGTAGCCATGTCACTTCAACGTCCCATTTAATTGGTCGAAAGGGCGACGCCACGTCACACACACATCTCGGTATTTCTTGACGACAATGCGGCGTCGACCGTCACCTAAGAAGCCACATGCCCCCCGCCGCGAGCCCGCGCGCCATGCAGTCGTGATGGTGCTGGGCGACGTGGGTCGTAGTCCACGCATGCAGTACCACGCGCTATCGCTGGCGCGGATGTCCCCGAACCTGCGTGTGACGCTGCTGGGCTACGCTGGCGAGCACTGTGTGCCCGACGTGGCACGTCAGAGCAACATTGAGCTATTGGCCTTCACTCCACACTTGCAGCGACTACCACGCAAGTTGTTCCTGCTACTGGCGCCCGTGAAGGTTTTACTTCAGCTGCTCCAGCTGCTCTGGCTGCTCCTGGTCAGTGCCGGCAGCATTGACCTTGTGCTGCTGCAGAACCCGCCGACGTAAGTGCCATAAGATCGGTCATGGAGACCGGTATATGTACAGGTATTGATGTGTGTATTGTTATAGGATCCCGACGTTCGTGGTGGTCTGGCTCTGCTGCCGACTGAAGGGCGCCAAGTTCGTGATTGACTGGCATAATTTGGGCTACAGTTTGCTAGCACTGTCACTTGGTAGTGGACATCCATTGGTCAAGGTAAGGTGAAGATGGGAGAGTTGGGATATTAATATGCTGATACGGTGTACTGCTGGAGGACAGATCGCCAAGTGGGTCGAGCGCGTCTTCGGGCGCAAGGCCGATGCGAATTTGTGTGTCACGCACGTGATGCAGACGTGGCTAAAAGACACCTGGAGGATTGAAGCGACGGTACTGCACGACAAGCCGCCGCTCTTCTTCAAGCCCACTCCGCTCGAAGCACAGCACGAATTGTTTTCTCGGGTCGGCGACCAGTTGGAGCACTGCAACGATGTACGAAACCTTCGTGCTTTATTGTCGCCTACTTATCACTTATTCTGCTGTCGCTATTGATGCAGCTGGTGACATGGGGCAAAAACCAGGCTAACCTTGAAGAAACTCTCCTAACACGGAAGACTCGGGGGCTTAATGGGAAGAAGGGCAAGACTGTCATCCAACCTCGTGAAAATCGACCCGCTATGATCATAAGCTCTACGAGTTGGACTGCAGACGAAGACTTTGGCATTCTCTTGGCAGCACTGGAGCTTCTGGATAGGCGCACGTCGTCGCTCAGTGTGTCCGAGTTCCCAAACCTGCTCGTGGTGGTGACGGGCAAAGGGCCGCAGAAGGACATGTATCTCGAGAAGATCAAGCAGCTCGCCTTCCAGCGCATCCGCATTGCCACGATGTACGCTTTGTTGCTCTGATATAAAAACTGTATGGCTTATAGTCTGACGTAGTTTTTTAATCTTCTTGTCTAGGTGGCTCGAGGCAAGCGACTACCCGCTCGTCTTAGGCAGCGCCGACCTGGGCGTGTGTTTGCACACTTCGTCCTCTGGTCTGGATCTGCCCATGAAGGTGCTCGACATGTTTGGCTGTGGACTTCCAGTGTGCGCCATTGGATTCAAGTGTTTGGACGAGCTCGTCAAACATGAAAAGTACGTTTGGCATTCTGGACGAAGCATTGGAATCTGCACCAATTTTGAATGTATTGATATGCACAGGAACGGCTTGGTGTTCGACTCATCGCAGCAGCTATCAAGTCAGCTCTACGATCTTCTCAAAGGCTTTCCGACGGATACTGCACAGCTCAATCGTCTGCGAGCATCCCTGAAGACGGTGGAGGTGAGCTTGAACCTACTATTGCACTTTCTATCGGCCGCAAACTTAATCTATCTAATATTTCCCTTTCAGCATTGGCCGGAGAACTGGAACCGCGTTGCTGCACCAGTCTTCAAGAAGCAGCTTCGACTCTGCTAGACCAAGTTGAAGTGTCTCTCGAGTGTAGACGAATCAAACAGTTTCCAAAATGCGTACAGTACTTGTAGCCATCTCAGCCATTTTTCACCATAAGTACGACCTTTTACTAACGTATTTCAGTACAAGTGTCATCCAAAATCTTCCAAACAAAAAAGTTTTTCAAAATATGGCGACGCCCGGAACCTTCTCGCTCGGCATTTCCCCGGAGGAGAAGCTCGCCCTTCCTCTCGGTAAGAACTGCTGACTATTTACTCCGGTGCGCATGCTGCCTCTCTAACTTCCTTCTGTCTGCAGACACGTTGATCCAGAAGGCGAAGAAGGAGAAACCCAAGGGCAGAGCGAATGACAAGAAGAAGCCCAGCAAAGGCACCAAGGCGCCGTTGAAGAAGACGCAACTGAAGAAACCCACGAAGAAGAGTCACAAGCAACAAAATGTCAAGAAGACGGTGATCGTACCCGTGTCCAAGGCAGCTGTACGTTGAGCGTCGCCGCGGGAAAATCGTAGAGACTGACATTCTTCTATGGACTCTGATCAGCGCGCGAAGGCAAACGCGGCTGTGGCATCGGCCAAGCGCCAGTCGGTGATCAACAAGCGACGGCCTGGACTCGTGCTCGCCGCTAAGAAGGGCAAAAAAGTCGTCCCCACGGTGCAACTGCGTCCTCACAAGACGTCGGCAGCGCGCAAGCAGAAAAAGAAAAGCAAGCAGGCGACCCAGGGAGGGCTCGACGTGTCCAACATTATCAACCACTTTCGCACGCATCCCAAGAAGTTCGACGTGCCCAAGGGCAGCAATCTCCGCATCACCATCAAGTATGACAACTCTTGCGTCCTGTGGGGGTGGACACTAGCTAACTGGAGTGATTTTCTTGTTTGTGTGGCAGCCTCAACAACGTCAAGCCCGTGGTTGGCGGACAGAAGTAGTGCAATGTATAGCTGGGCAGAATGGGTCGCTCCTTGTCTTGGCGGTAGCTTTCACCACATACGCTTTTGTTTCCTTTTTCCAGATCGCGCTTTTTTGAGTTTGTAGCTTTCGTTGACGTGGTGTTGTTTACTACGAATGGATATTCTTTCCAGCTCCAATTTGATTATTTCTGCTTACAAAGAGAACAAGCACAATCGCGTCCTTAGCTCGCATGCCTTACTCTTGGAGTGAAAGCGAGACGCGTACAATTTTTTAGTGCAAACGGGTTTTAGAAACACGTTGGGGGGCTAAAACAATTTTTTTCTTTTATATTTTATGTTTTTGCAAAAGGTTTTAGAAACGCCCTGTTTTCTTAATTTAAAATTGCGAAATATTAATTAAGGATACAATTAATAAGAAGTATCACATTTTCATGCGCATTGCAAACCCACTAAACTGAAGCGCTTTCTGGTGAAACTGCAGCAAACGCCCGAATGAATAATTACCGGATCTGAGAGCCTTTGAAGCTCAGTTGATTTTAGTTTGAGCTTCGGACGGCGCGTTTTTATGCAATCTGCAAGGAGAACGCGGGCCAACCAGAAGTTCGTTTCGAAGGTCTAGAACACTTCAGTTTGACAACTGTTTCTCTCGGAGATCTTCAAAACTGTGGTCGTGCACCATCCTGAGTATGAGAGTGAGATGTCCTTGGTTGCAAACATTGTGAGCGAACATGCGTGTGAGCTCATCCACATGCAATATTCGTATGCCCTTGGACCGGCTGCGTATATCTTTTACGAAGGTTGCCCTGGGGTGTATTTCGTCAAGAGTGTGTGTGAAGATGATGACGCACTGGATGAGCTTAATGCTGAGTATTGTGTCACCAAGCGCGACTGGTCTTGCTCATGTTTGTTCATGAGCACGCGTTTGTTACCATGCCGACAAGTTTTCTTCCTTCGCAAAGCTCTTGGTCAAGAAACAATTATCCCGACGCTACTATTAAACAAGCGGTGGTTGGTTTCAAACGTTCGCTCAGCACTGGAAAATAGCACTTCAAGTAGCGCTGAAAATGAACCCAGCTCATTTGAGGTGAAGACTGTTCTTCCTGGGCGCGAGCGCCCTTGGGATTCGAATCGAAAGTTCCGAGAAGCATTGCCCATTGCCTCGGAGATCTTTGACACGATGGCTGGTCTAGGTATGACCCAGTATCGACAGGCAATGCAATATCTCCAAGAAGTGATTGGTCGGTTCAAGGATGGTAAATTTGAAGATCCTATTCGAGAAACAAACCAGCTGGAGCTTTCGCAAACGAGTGGGCAGCTTTCCGATATTATGGTGCCTCTAACACAACTATATAGTACTACCCACGCACCAGAGACTGCTGTTGGGAGAAAACCACATCAACCACTTCTCACTGGCCATGCCCACAGCACGAGTGGCAATGAGTTGCTTACCGATCTAGTATCAGAACCTGAAGAAGTCGGCCTATTCAACGAGCCAAGTGGCGTTTCACCGCAGTCGGGCCAATCGGGTGCAGTCGAGTCTGAGTCGGAACCTCCACATGAATCGGGCCAATCAGTCCCAGTCGGGTCTGAGTCGGGGATTTCACGAACTCTTCCAACAGCAACCGAAGAAACGACGTTCGTTATTGCCAGCCCACCACGATCGAGAGGACGCCCGAAACAATCTGCTAAAGCGGAGAAGGCGGCACGTAAGAAGGCGGTTGCTGTTGCTCAAGAAGACTCCGAGCTTCATTCGTTGAACCTGAGCCTAGCATCCGTAGAAACCGCAATGTCGGGCGAAGCTACCTATGCATCTGCGGCTGCAGTTCTCAACAAGTTTAAGGTGATTGAGTACGGCACTAAGTTCAAGGCCCCGACTGTACGAACAATAGCATCGCTACCACCAACCAAGCCTATTATCCCTCCAGCCTCCATCACGCGCATACTGCGTCCTGAACAAATCAGCATCTGCAACCAAAAAGTCACAGCATTCCAGTCAAAGCACAAAGGTACTGCCGAAAAAGATCTGGTCGTCGATATACCTGGCTTCGGCGTGTACTTGACAAGCACAATGCGGACTATGAAGTCTTGGCACACAGCGATGAAGACCATCAACCAAGTGGGAAAAATGACGAAGTGGGTGAACACCGTCGACTTTTCATTGCCTATGCCATCCTCATTTCGGGTGCAGGAGCAGCCAGACGTGACGACGAAAGCAAAAGCGATTCCTGTGTCTTCCAGAAAGGTATAAATACCTATCACTGGCCTGCTTCATCATATTATTCTGATTAACTATTGTATAATATGCAGGCAGCCATTCTGGACCTTGTAGGTAAAACATGCCTTAGTGAAGACACCATGAACATCGTTATGGCTAAACTGTTTGGATCACGAAGTGATGTAATCATCGTGGATCCAAGTATAATCGGCTCTGTTGAAGGCGAAGCAATGCCAGGGATTGCCGCCGTTTTTGCTGATGTTTCCGCCAGTGTCACGAATGAGAAAATCTTCATTCCCGTATGCTGCAGTAAAAACCATTGGTGCGGCATATCGTTGGACCTGGAAATGGCGGAGGCGGCTGTCTACGATTCAATGGGCTCGACCTATGCACTTAAAGTCCGAGCACTCACGGAGGCCCTTCTAGTGCAGCTACCAGACTACGCCCCACGAAAGTTTCGAGTCCGCCCGTACCATACAGACCTCGTGGTTCAAGTCGACAGCTATAATTGTGGAATTTACGTCCTTGTGGCGTTTGAAGAGATTGCCGGTGCAAAAGGTCTCTGCATGCTATCCAGAAAGGAACTTCAGTATCTACGTTACAGATACATTTGCATGTGCGCTTAGTTAACACTCTAAACAAGTCAATCTTTGTGTTTGCCCTTACAGTTTGTACGTGCCGCCACACACTATCAGCGTAGAACACTGCAGAATCCCGCAAACACTATTCACACGCTCAGTGCTAAGTCTTTCACATGCCGCCACACACTATCAGCGTAGAACACTGCAGAATCCCGCAAACACTATTCACACGCTCGGTGCTAAGTCTTTCACATCCGAATATACGTATAGCAGCCATGCGCTTCACACGATTGCTCAACCGGCTCTTATATTGAGTCGGGCACTGTCGGTCATCGATCGGATGTAGTTGGGTACCGTGAGCCTGGCTCTTTCACATGAATCGGGCGAAATAACGAGTGCCTTTATGAATACCCTCGGCAATAGTAGACGCGCTTCTAAAGCGCCTGCTGAGTTTCACAAGCAAAGCATAGTCTCGAGGTGCATGGGCTGTATGTGCTGTCGGTGATTCGACATCGTGTGCTTAACAATTCTGAATAGCCGCTCAGTTGCATTGAGCGTGGGTGGGATGTACTTCACCCCATCCAAATTCTTCCATGCCGTGCGGAAAGAGCGTGAACAGCACCACATATGTCTGACAATCACGACAAATGCAGATTTTACACAACTAGCAACTTAATGGCATCACCTAAAGCAGATCAGCACAACATAATTGGAGGATTCACAAGAAACATAAATTTTCCACGTGAAATTAGCGAATGCGCACAAAATCTAACGCTTTACCTACCATTCATCAATTTACAAGACCCCGTCCCCTCAACCAGCCCAGCTAGCTCAAGATCCAACTATTTTGCGTAGCACACACGCAATTACCTGTGATTATCCGAGGTAGACGCCAACGCTTTGCTGGTGAATATGAAAGCGTTCACGGCGTCGAAAAGCCATCTCTGTCGTATATGCAACAGCCTTCTATCGTGTGCGCGCAAGCAGTGCTTACCTGTAGCGCCATTTTCCAAGTGTGTCTGGTGTGGCAAGAGACTCACGTGCCTCGAGACAAACACGGTGACGCTGTATGAGCTCGAGACGCACTTTTCGATGGCAATTCCACGCAAGAAGCCCGCCATGTCACGCACTCAGAAAGCTTTCATTCATGATATGACCAGAGAGAATCTAACGCCTCTGCGCATTTGATATACAATGTCTCGTAAGTTGGTAAGCCCTTACAGGAGCTACCCAGACTACGTCAAATTCAGAATTCGGCGAGCCACTATCGTCGTACAAAGCTGAGCGGCAATGACCGCGTCTAGGATCTGGTCTCTCGAGTCAGTGCTGCCTCCTTCAGTGACCGAGAGGCAGAGTACGAAGCCTTCACGTTCACGCACACCACCAATTCCAGCGGAAATCCCGTTGTCGGCGATGGATTAGATGTTCGACCGTTTGTAGTTGGCATAACGACCAAATCGTTGTTGCGTTCGGCAGATCGGCGAGTTCAGACACCTTCGTTCTGCACATTGATGATACTTGGTAGCTAGCAGAGGCTGGTACCCTATCATCGTTTGCGGAATGTCAGACGGCGCAAGGAAATTTCAGTTGCTCACACTCTCTATAACATCTTCGTTAGAAGAGCAGCACTACACTGAAGCCCTTTTGGGCCAGCAGACTATGTGGGCAAAAGTGGTGGGCAAGCGAATAAATGTGCGGGTTGTTATGGGCGGCGCTGATAAAGCACAGTTTAACGGTATTAAGAACATTTTTTGTGCCTTAGGGAGGTATACGTTTCTTTTGTGCGTTTATCGTGTTGTGGCCAAACTGTGTCTTGCACTTAAAGAGCCGACTCATCAACAGCATACTGACGCGGTTGCTGGGGTTTATCGAGGACTCTACGGTATCCACTTCTCTACAAGCCAAACTGAATTCTTAGAGCGGAAAGCAAAGGTCCGAGAAGAGGACCGGTCCAGAGCTGGATATGTTTCGCAAATACATGAAAAAGCAGTGGCTATAATACCGGTACTGGGAAACTTTTGCATCTGGGAGATCTATCTGACCCGGATTTGCATCAAAGAACAATCCATGTGAAACGTTCAACAGAGCGTTCAAGCGTTACTACACGCAAAAGCGGAAGCTCAAGCTCGCTGTACCTCTCCAGCACATTATGGACTGCTGCAGCCACCACTCGATGGCCCCGATAGCATTTGAGCAGCGAAAGATGGTGGACAGGAAATTAATTGTTCGCTCGACAGATCTACGCAGGAGTGGATACCTCCGCGAATACACATTCTGCCGTAGCAGCATCAGTTTCCTGGTCGATGATACAGCTGTTGTCCGGGTTTCTGAGCTACCCCCTCTGAGGTTATTTGTTCCATCGCGCGGTCAGTCTGCAGAGG